TCCGGTCGTCCAGGACAAGTATATTTTCCCTCGGGGCAAGTAGCTTTTGATTCTTGCTTGATGGGCAAAGGATCAGGCAAGTTGTCTGTCAACATATCATTAAAAGAACAAACTATGTCTTGCCCCAAGGCAAGCAAAATTTGAGAGATACTTGTCCCAAGGGCATTAGCTGGAATTCAAGTTTTTTTCAAGTCCTGATATATTAGTCAGGGGCAGATCCAGGATTTTTCTTAGGAGGGGTGCGCCACTGAGGAATGGCGTAAACTGACTGGTGAGGTAAATTTCAAAAGTGAATACGAAGAAAGTGCTTCATCTCTGGAGGGGAGGGGGGTGTGCACCCCGTACACCCTCCCCCTAGATCTGCCCCCACTTATCACTGAAAACAGAAATGCAGGCTGTGGCCTTTAATGGTTACAGTGAAGTCTATTCCAAGGGGTTTTGGATTTGAATCTTACCATATCTGGGTCATTCCAGTGCCCAGGTCCAGCTACCTCTATAAAAGTGTCCTGATTCTGGGCAAAGTGATCCAAAATTCCTAACACACTTTCCCAGGAGTCCTGCAGTTCAAGGCAATCAAGGAGTTTGTAATATTTTATACTATAAACAGACACCGTACCTCTCTAAGTGGACATTGTATCTATTGATTCCCACTAAGGGGAGGTTAATTTACAAAATTATAAATATTAAAATAAAATAACAATATTAATAAATTTGAAATGACTTCCAAACCTGTACGTCAATGTAATTTCTCCAGGTGTTGCAAGTTTTTGCAATAGCAGCATAGTCAGGCTGGTATGAAACACAGAGACAACAAATTACTTAATGCTGAACAATTTGGGGGTTGGGAGGGATTAAATAAAAAGCAAGGTTACAATACTGAGTACAATCAATGCTAAACAACCCCTTTAAAATTGCTGCATTTTACTGCCTGCCAGATTTAGAGTTGACTGTTTAAAAATTTGCAGTTCCAGAAAATATCCATACTCCTTCCACGGAGGGTATTGGAATTTCCTGGGGGGTGGGGGGTTCTGTAAGAACAAAAAATTTAAAGAAGAGAGGGGTGGGGAGGTCTTAGGAAAAAATCCCTTCCATAGGGGATGTATGGATATTTTCTGGAACTAAACAATGCTTATTATTACCTGTTTGCTTTTAAAATTGACAAGACAGTTAACTAATAAAAAGCATATTAATAATAATTATTATTGTCAGTGGTTTATAAAGATAAAAAAGTAGTGAAAACACCCCTTGTTTGATTTATTCTATTTAATTTATCTATTTAAACACCAGAGCATCAACTTGTACTCAACCATGTTGAAAACAGACCAGTGACAAAAGCACATGGTCAAACATTGATTGGGCTATTTGACAATTGGCATATTGTCACAGTGTAATGACCCTATGAAACAAGCTTTAGACATTAGAAAACTGAAAGTTACCAGGGATGTTATTTCACAAAATTTTGTAGTGTTAATGATCAGTCAATTGTAGACAGTGACATGGTATAGAATTATAGAGTGCAGGGTCTTACATACGAAATTCTCCCAAAGATAATAATTATAGAAATGTTATAAAAGAAAGTAGGGAGATTTTTTATGTTGGGCATAGAACACAACAGCGCAATACCTTTAATCCCAATTTGGCTTGGTAATCAGGCCATTCGCAGCTCAGTAATATTTGTCGTCCTGTTGCATTAAGAGCTTGTGAGAACTTGGGGTAACCAACATCAAATGTAAAAGGGTTTGAGAAACAACCATCAACCTTGAGGTAATCTACTTCCCAACTAGCAAATGTCTGTAAGTAAGTAATAAATACAATGATTATGAATATTATAATTATGATTGCCCAGTAACAAATGACAAACTGAAGGCCTCTAAATGTACATGTAGTGCAGTGGTGAGACCACTTAACGGCCACCAATATGGCCCATGTACCAATCCTGAACCCAGGGTCTTACAAGTAAGTAGGTTGAGTTTGTTGTTAGTTCTTGTACTTGCTCTTGGTGTTTTTCTTTACATCCTCTCCTTGTCTTCCTCAAAAACCAACACTCCAGATTCTATGTATTTTCACTGAGATACAAAAACACTTCATAACAAGTTTTTTAATAGCTCTTTGGAATTTTGTGGGTAAAAAGGAGGGGGTGTGGGGGTGGCCTGTTAATGAAGACAGGGCAAAAAACCTGTCCATGTTTGCATGCTGGCAAGGTGAGGGGGGGNGGGTGGTGGAGGGTCAAGTTAACCATTTCAATAAATTTGTTACCTTTGCATCCTGTTCAATGTGTTGAATACTTCCTGGATAACCAGCACATGTAAAGAAGCCATAATCTGGTGGACATGTAGACAGACAAGGTGAAAAAGGGCAATAAATAATATTATTAGTAATTTTAGGACTACGATGCATGAAAGCATGTCTGATCACATTCTTGTAAATTAGACTCTTGTCAAATTAGTAAATTGGTCTCATATCTTTCTCAATTCAAGAAGGAATTGCAACCAAACTGTTCAATTATGTGTAAAACTTGGATGGCATCCCCAAAACCCAGCAAGATAGTAAACCAAATAATGCAACTGACACATACCAGCATACATTCCAAGTTTCAATCCCTTGCTATGTAACTATGTCAGAAGCAAAGTGAAACATTTTCTCAGTAAAATCTTACAAAGCTTGTAAATGCAACCTCTCACGATGCTTGATTATAAGCAGTTACATAGGAGTGTTATATAGGAGTGTTAAAATAAAATACAAAAAAAATATATATATATAGGAGTGTTAATAGCCATACTGTATTTAAATCAACTGATTTAATTTGTTAATTTACATTTACTTATTTTAGTCTCTAATGACACTTGTGTTTCATACAACATGAGCTTATCCCAGTTTTTCTACTCTCCCTGGATGGGATCCTAGTCCATCGCCCACAGCATTATTAAACATGGATGGTACCCTTATGCACCTGGCCATGGGTGGAGAGAGGCACTGTGAGACTCAGAGTGAAGTGTCTTGTCTAAGCACAACACAATTAACCCAGCCAGGGCTAGAACCCAGACTGCTCAATCCGGAGTCTAGCAAGCTAGCCATGAGGCCACTGCACCTTCCAAATTTACTTCCTAAAAAATAAAATTCTCACATAGTCTGCTAAGGCCTTTATTCCACTTGGAAATCGTGTACTGTTAGGCTGAAGATTACCAGAAGGGTCTCGATCCTTATTAGACCAGCAATCCTAGAATACAGAAAATTAATGCAAAGAAAAAGTAGTAATTAAAAATTTGGAAAATTAGAAAAGGGTCTCCTATGTGAGGCATCTACTTTATGACCATAGACCAAACAACACTAAATTTCTGGAGGCCATGGAACTTACATCAATGCTGACATATTTGTACCCAGCGTCTCGATAACCATCCTCTGCAAGA